GGTGCGCCAATTGTGATAATGTTTGGACCTTTGATGACTGACTTGACCCGATGTGTTGGTGTTCAAAGGGCCTCCGTGGTGATAAATCGATCAGCAGGGCGTGCGCCATAGTTTTGCGCATTAAGAGGGTCACATTTGTTTGGGATTGTCTCTTTGGCTAGACCATCTTTTCCTCAGTTGTAGTAGGTTTTGTGAATCTTCGAATATGTCGACCCACGGATATACTGGTCGCTTTATCAAAGACCATTGTGTGTATGGCCAGGCGTCCATAGTCTTGTCGGATGATATGGCGGCTTTGTCGAAGTGGGTATCTAATGCACATGATACGTTTGGTAGGAAGACCAAGCTTGTATGCACTATGGGTCCATCATGTTGGGATGTTGATACTCTGGTGAAGATGATCGATCAGGGTATGAACGTGGCGAGGTAGTATTAGCAAGGCTTATGGTAGTGATGGAGGTTGTTCTTTTTCAGACTCAATTTTTCACATGGCGATTTTGAAGCCCATGGTGCCACCGTGCAACGTATTCGAGAAGCATTGAAGCAACGCCCTGGAAAGCATGTTGCGCTTCTACTCGATACCAAGGGTCCTGAAATTAGAACTGGTTTTTTCAAAGAGGCAGGCGGTAAGGTTAAGCTAGAGGCCGGTCAGGAGCTTGTTCTTACTACTGACTATGATCACAAGGGGGATTCTAGCAAGATCGCCTGCAGCTATGCTAAGCTACCTCAGAGTGTCAAGCCTGGCTCGACCATTCTTATGGCTGATGGTACTGTTAGTTTGGAGGTTATCGAATGCCTTGAGGACAGCGTTAGGACTAGGGTTATGAATAGTGCTACAATTGGTGAACGCAAGAATATGAACTTGCCAGGAGTTAAGGTTGACCTGCCCTGTATCAGCGAAAAAGATAAGAATGATATTTTGAATTTTGGTATACCACAGGGAGTGAATTTCATTGCAGCATCCTTCGTTCAGGATGGTGATGATGTAATAATAGCTCGGTTAATTCTTTACTGTTTATCGTTGGTCTTCGTAGGTTAGAGGTCTACGTAAACTGCTAGGGCCTAGAGGTCGTCATATCAAGATCATCTCTAAAATCGAGAATGAGTCTGGTATGAAGCACTTTGATGACATCCTGGCGGCCTCGGATGGTATCATGATCGCTCGTGGTGATCTTGGTATGG